GGCACAGCATTACCTGCTCCTTGCTCTCCTCCAGTCGAGCCTTCTGCACCAGGCGGATGAACTCCTTGCGGTCCTCATAGCGCACCACGGTGTTGCTGCCATTGGGGATCAGCTCCACCACATGCTGGTCACTCAGCACGACTGTGTAGGTCAGCTCTTTGCCAAACATGAACTCAAAGGTGTCCCTGTCCATCCCCTCCATCATTTCCAGCAGCTTCACCTTCAACCCCAATGGGTAAAAGCCATCACGATGGATCCAGAGCAGCCATAGGAGTGCACAGCACTGCCCTGCCAGACCCCAGCCCCACTAACCAGCTCCACATCCACAGCAGCAAAGTCCTTGCTCCAGATGACCTCTTCCCCTGCCAACTGCTTCCACACCAGCGCTGGCAGAGCCAGGACCTGCCAGAGGGAGCGAAGACATGCATCCTCCATGTGCCTCTCCATCACCTGAGGGATGACATGGCAGCCCCCACCAAGCCCCCTCACTGGGCAGGGAGGACCTGCTGTGCTCACCAGAAACTCCTTGCTCCTCAGGGCTGCTCCTATCAACTGCCCAATCCACTCATACTTGGGGAAGTCCTTGCAAGAGGGGTTGGGGATGTACATGTCTCTGGTGTCACTGCTGCTGTTACCCTGTGGGAGAGAGGCTTAGGACCTGTGGACACAGGTGTGACCAGCCCACCATGGCCCCTCCTGAAGCCTCCCTCTCCATCACCCCTCTGCCTGCCTCTCCTGTCCACCATGCAGGTACAAGCAAAGCTCCCCAAGCCAACAGCCCTGTAAGCATTAAGATAGGACTCACACCCCAAAAGCCCCCAGGCTCTGCTGTCTGTCTCCCCAAGGGCTGGAACAAGCAGGCAGTGGGGTGCCAAACCTGGTTGGAAGTGCGCACAAAGAAGGGCAGGGGCACGGGGACATTGCCCGAGCTGGGGCACAGCTCCTCCGAAATGTCCGACAGGGTGTCCCGAAAACCACCGCCTGCAGTGGGGGGCAGAGGCTGGTTAGTGCCTGACACAGCAGGGACAGATGCTGATCCCAAGGATACTGGTGGGGTAGGGGAGATGCAGGGACCACCACGTGTGTGCAGAGCACACCTGCTTCCCATAGAGAAGCCAGGACAGTGTGGACACCCCACCTCAGTGTGCAACCCAGAGCTGCACCCCAACATGAGAAAGCTCTGGGGAGAGCCACGGAGCGGGAGGGGAGAGCTCTCACCATTGTCAAGGATGCCCTCTGTGACAAAATCGCACTCCCACCACTGGCTGTAGTTTGTGGGCCACCTGTGGGGAAGCAACAGCCTCATGTATATCCCTCCTCTGAGAAAGGCAGCAGCACTTGGCATTCCCTGCAACCTGCTCCGGGGAGGTGACACCCCAAAACTGCAATGCTGAAGACCTACCTGTAGTCCAGGGGCTGATTGTGCTTGGAAGATCTGAGGCCTTCGTACAGCTGGATAGGAGAGAAGCAGAAAGGGGATGAGATGCAGGGGGGCCAAGCGATGCTGAGCTGGCAGGTACCCGCACAGAGCATGCGTTGCTGTACCTGGGTGAAGACAGTGTTCCTGTAGCTGGGGTCCAGTGCAGGGTTGGCGCGGTGCTCCCGGGCCAGCTGCCGGTTGATGTGCAGCTTTGGCATGATGTTAGGGGGGGTGCTCTCCGAGGACTGCAGACAGTGGGTAATGAGGGCTGTGCTTTGCTTGGACAGCAGCAAGAATGGCTTCATGCCCTAGCAAGGGACAAGCAGAGATGGTTACTGTCATGGTTTAAGCTCAGCTGGTAACTCAGAACCATGCAGCCATTCACTCACTTCCCTGCTTCTTCGTCCCCCCACTCCTGGAAGGATGGGGAGACTCCTGGAGGGATGGGGAGGAGAACTGAAAGAATGTAACTTGCACGGGTTGAGATAACAGCAGTCCAGTAACTAAGGTATAATACAAAACCACTACTGCTACCAATAATAATGAGAAGGGAAATAACAAGGGGAGAGGATATAAAACTAAAAGGGGAAAAGGAAAACAATAAACACAAGTGATGCATAATACAGTTGCCCACCACCCGACGACCGACACCCAGTTTATATAGTGGGCATGATGTGCTGTGGTATGGAATACCCCTTTGGCCAGTTTGGGTCAGGTATCCTGTCTCTGCTTCCTCCCGGCTTCCTGTGCCCCTCATCACTGGCAGTTCATGAGACTAGAAAGTCCTTGATCAGGGTAAGCAATACTTAGCAGCAACTGAAAACATTGGTGTGTTATCAGCATTGTTCTCAGGCTAAAGTCAAAAACACAGCACTGCACCAGCTACTAGGAAGGAGAAAAATAACTACTACAGCTGAACCCAGGACAGTTAGAAGCCTGAGCTTGCCATGGTGTGAAAAAAAATCTTGCCCCCTCCGCAAGCAGTTTCTGTTGTAACAGAGGATGCTCAGCTTCTCCATCGCACTGCCAATGCCCAAAGTGGCAGCTCTCAGCATGAGTCCTGGGCAGGTCAGTCTGCCTCAGATCAATGGGGATATGCCATAGCCTCCAGCAAAACCACCTGAGCCCATGATGAGATGCTCCTACTGGTACCATCCCAGGGGAGCCGAGCAAACACTTACCCTGAGTGGATTGAAGGTGCCAGTACTGTCCTCGAAGAGGGGGATCAGGTAACACAGGACACTGTCCAGGATCTGGACAAACCTGGAGACCAGAGAGGAGCAGTGTGAGGATGTGAGGGGCTTGGCGCATGTGTGGAGACCGATACACCCATGGCATTTCACTGTAGACAGCCCGAGGCCCTGCACATGGGTCTGGTCCAGCCCATGGAGGAACACCAGCATACCAAGGGGAGCACCCAACCAGCACCCTCTGGCAAAACACTTTATTTATTCCCAAGGAAAAGCTGCAAACAGGAGCAGCCCAGCCCATGCTGCAGAGGGTCTCTCTGTGGGGACAGTGCTGGCCCCAGCCTGGGGCTGCCCTGTAGGCATGATCCATATGATGCAAGACCCCCTCACCCAGTGCCACCACTGCTCCCCACACATTGGAAGCAGACACGTTTGGATGTGGAGCAGCAAGCTGAAGTCCCTGTCACACACAGGAAAGGAGCTGGCAGGCTTTAAGCAAGATATGTGCAACCAACTGCTAGAGGCTCGGGCACAGTTCTCAGGGCTGGGGCTCACTGCCCTGGGTATGGTACCTCTGAATGAGCACGGCCCGGCGGTACAGCACATCAGTGTCCACCCCTTCCAGGAGAGGGTAACGCACCAGCCGGGCTGGCTGGAATATGTCAGAGTTCAGAATCAGGTCCCACTCCCAGAAGGACTTGATCTTAATCCCTTGCAGGCGGACATTGTACCCTTGGTCTGCCAAGAAAGGACAGTGCATGGCTGGGATGCTGCAGCTGGGGGCAAGCAGCCCACAGCACCTGCGGCATCCCAAATGAAGCTCATTCCCCAGCTCTTCCTCCAAAGGACCCCAAAATGCAGCCAGTGCAGTGGGAAGAACCACAGATGCTGGGACCAGCTGCAGGTTTAGGGCTGGGCTGGCAGCCCTAGTCCAGCAGCACAGGCTCACCACGACATTCCAGGAAGCGGATCTCCAGCACCGGCAGGTGGATCTTCATGTTGCGGAGGATGCAGACATTCTGGAAGCTGTTCCTGCACACAGTATGGAAGGAAGTGGCAGAGCCACAGTGTAAAGAGATGGCCAGCAAGGCACAGGCCATTCTGGCTCCCCAGCCAAGGATGCTACCCATAGCAGAAGCCCCCTCACCTCAGTGTGGCAGAAGGGGACCGAGTAGAGAGAAGAGGTTGTCAGAGACACAGAGACATCCTGAAGAAGGTGGAAGCAGCATCCAAAGAGCCAGAGAAGAGCAAAAATTCAAAGCAGAACAGAAACATGATATGTCTGAGAGGGTGCCATGGTTCCCAGGGGGTCCTGGCACATCTTGAAAAGGCACAACCATCCTTCAAGCAGAGCTGGTCATGCAAGGGTGATGTGTTTTGAAGGTAACATGGATTTGGGGAGATGAGCAATCTGGTAAGTGATTTGCTTGTGTTTCCAAAGCCTTTGGCAAGGTCCTGTCAAAGACCTAGGGGCATGTGGGGAAAAACCACTGCAAAGAGGAAGAGGTGAAGCACTCCAGGACTTCTCAGCTACAGCATGGCAGAGATGCTCAGAAAGGTGATGGCAGTAGCTCATGTCCCCATAGGTGAGGAGGAAGAGAAAGAAAGATTCCCAAAGTCACCAGCGAGGAGGAAGCACAACGCAGCCCAGCTGCATGGATAAGGAGCAGGAGTTATAAAGCTAGCATATGGAGGCAGGGGACCACCACACTTGTGGGGACAGATGTAGCCTGCACCCAGGGAGCCCAAACCCACAAAAAGCCACCATCACCAGCAGGTCACTCAGCACCAACCCCTTTCGTCAGCATCTCCTCAGGATGCAGAATCAGCTCTGGAGTTTGGCCTAAGCTGGACCCAGGCTGTTCTTTACTCACTCATTAATTAGGACAGTTCTCAGGTGCTGCAGCCTGTTTGGTGGCCCCCCATACACAGCCACCCGCCTGGGTACATAGGAGTTGCCATTCACATCCAGCACCAGCCACAGCTTCCTGGGGATGAGAAAAGCAAGGGTCAGCGTTATCCTCCGCTCCACAGAGATGTCCCTGGAGATGGGGCTGGGGGCAAGGCTGTGGCCTCCTGGGGTACATCTGGCAGCAGCTGCCCCCCACCTCAACACCGC